AAAAAAAAAAAAATGAAAAATTACAGGAGAAGTTGGAGCTGTAGTCGGATGTCATTACATTTGTACGATAGCTGCGCCGATGCTGAAATCATAAATATATACTAAGATTATCAAGACCGCTCTGGCAGTCAGCATGGTATCTTATATCACACTCCCAAATGCCTAGTTCAGACCCTGCAAACCTGACCTGCATACCCCAATCAGTTAACCACCGTTTGCTTGATGTGTGTGCGTTATCTCTTCGTGAGTCATTCGACTGTTCATTTACTTTCTCGCGGATGCCATTCGTTAATGTGCGGCATCCATCAGTTATCGACAAGGCTTAGCTCTGATCTTCGGATTTTACTTTCTTGCAAGGTCGTAAAGTTTTTCTGCACGCCGCCCGTAAATAACAAATATAAATGTTAAAAATTTTTTAGCCAACGGCACGAAAGCTAAACTAACGGTAAGAGAAGAAGTAGATGATGCCCCTTGAAGCATAGTGTCCGGCGATACCGATCTTCTGTATGGGCTGAATGAACTGCTTGTGAGCAGTGATTTGTTCGTATCACCCGACGTTACCGACTGACTGAACAGCTCGAAACCCTCATCTTCAACTGCTGTTCCCAATGAGAATTCGGATGCGGTGCATGAATCCGAATCGCCATCCTGGACCAGTAACGGCCCGGACTCCGATGTGCCCATACACGTGCATTGTTCGTTTGCAGCTGTCGCGGTCTTTCTCAAAATCTGAGAATGACCAGCACTGTGAGCGCTGAACAGTTTCTAAAAACGGTTAAGGACTGCTTGCATAATACATTGCATCGGGTGAGTAATGTGTGGCAAATTTTGAGATTGGCCCGGAATTGAGATACATTTACAAGTAAAATCATCAAAAGTAAAATTAAATTATTTACAAGTAAAATCATCACAAGCTGAACAGCGGATTCTTAAGGTTTAAAAATAGCTCAGGTCTACCGCGTAATAAATGCCGGTCCTAAACTAATTCGCTTTTTAACTACTACCAACTGCTTCACTTCTGTAGGTACAATCGGATGCTGCTCAAGCCGGCTCTTTGGAAGTCATTGGAGCAGTTGACACAAAAGGTTTAACGCTTTAATATTTAAATTTAGACTTAGGTTTCAAGTCTAGACCCGTATCTAGGCCTAAGTTTTGATCTATCACTAATATTTCTGGTAGAACTTTGTCTGAAGAACTGAGTACGGCATCCCTTTTGTCCGCTTGAGTGCTAAAAAGCTTTTCCCCATGAAAACAGTTCTAACAGATGCCCATACCTTGACAGCTTTCATTTTTCAGAGTTCCTTTTGTCGGGCCGAGTCAGGAACGGCGCAGCTGCTTCCAAAGTCGAATGCGAAAACAATGTAATAAACTATATCAGTTATGGTCAATATACCCATAAGAAAAGTCGTTCGAAGCCCTCCGCTTTTCCTCGATAATACATTGCTGAGGACTCCCGAAGAGGGTAACCTCCTCAGAACGTCTCTGCGAGGTCACGTTTTTTCTTGTTTCATCCCGATATGTTCACTTCTCCTTGTTCATGCGCCATTCTTGTGTGTATAGTCGGCAGGAATCAAGGACAATTGTGAAGGAACAACGATTGCACCATCTTTATCCATAGCAGGCAGCTTTCAGAGGACGCGGCACGTTCGACGGTTAAGTCTTCATCGACTTTTGGCAAGCGGAGCACATGGTGTATTCAACGGTTTTTTGATGGGAATTTATTAGGACGGTGTGTTACGGAGCAAATTTACAACAACAATCAACGACAGTCTAACACAGCCACGAGCGATCAACTACTTCATCGATGAAGATAAACCATTCTGGGCAAATTTTCATATTCCTCATAATTTCACCAGATCTCTCTCTTTGTCTAGTGCACTGTCTGATATTTTAACTTCAGAAAATCAGAGATTTGAAATTTTAGTGCCAGAAAAACGCCACTACGAAATCACCACAGAGTAGCCCAGCTGCCTTTTTAACACAGGCCTACGGCCACTCACCCAGGAAAATAAACCGCCGGAAGAATGCACCTTCTGCGACATCTCATTTTGCTGGGCCAGAAGTGCTTCCACTAAACACCAGTGCAATGACAACACAGCCAAAACAGGTGCCAAGGTTAACCAACCTGTCATCGAAATGCTTCTACAGTACCATGAGGTGTTAGTTTTTTTTTAGTCAGCAGCTTCTATCTGCTGGTAAGTGGAACACAAAAACACCACTCCTATCAACATGAAAACTGAATCAGAACCATCACACATAACATACAACACATGAAACTGTAAAAAAACAATTATCAAAGTTTTTTTTTTTGGAAACTCCAATCTTAAATGAAAACAAAAACGCGTGGCGGCGGAAAATTTCCATATCAGCAATGTTAGGGCGGAAATTGCCATCTGCCTCAATGTCAAGAAGAAACGAGATGATGAAGCAACAGGTGACCAAAGCATCAAAGTATCAGCAGTATACCTAGCCTCCAGCAAAAAAGAGTGGCACATCAAATGTCAGCAAGACGGTATCCTCCCATGACTCGGAACGATGCAATTTTGCACTCTTTTAGGCTGAATCTAGGACAATGTGTAAAATCACTTCAGTATTCATTCGCTACAAAAGCGAAGGCGCACCAATGTAATTCCAGCGAATAGCTGCGACTCCAACGTAGTAGCCTTACCAGTGTCTTGATATAACAGGAACTGTGAACTCTTTCGTGAGCATAGCCTCGAATCTTTAAATCTATCCGCTCCCCAAGAAATTCAGTCAGAGAGAAGGAAGAATTATAGCTCATTTTAAAACGACGAAATACAACGATACTGCATCCCTGAATAAATAAGACAAC